GATTTTGAGAAATGAAAAATCTAATAGTGGCTAAAGAGCTGAATTAACAGTAGGAACCTATTCATTCATTCACTAAACATTACTGAGTTCTACACATACCACATTGCAGACTCTCTTCTAAACAGTAAGCAAACATTAGTGAACAAAGTGAAGTTTCTACATGTGGAGCTTATATTTGAATGAGTAAGATACAAATAATAAGTAAATAAATATATATAAGTTGGTGGTAGGCGTTAAGAAAAATACAGTGGTACATGGAAAAGGAGTGACTGGGCTTGCCAAATTGTGCATTAATTTCTGTATGCCCCACTGGTCTAGCACTCCATAAATTTTTGTTGAATGAACAAACATATTAAGACATCTCTATAGTAGCTTCTGTCTCACTGGCAACAGTGATAATACTGTAGCTAGTGAGATTTATCTAAACACAGTGGCTCTGAATTCTGAAAAGTGAGAGTAGTAGCATTGAAGATTAGAATAGTGAAAATAAAAATCAAATTTCTGGCATTCAGCCAAGTTGGAATAAGGGAAAGACAGAAGAAGATCAGATCATACAAGAGAACCAAAAGGAAGAAGCTAGCTTCTTTTGTCTGTACTTTTTCTTTTCCTTTTATTTAAGACAGAGAATACTTTATTCAAACCCATCAGAGAAATGGACAACTTGGATCTGTAACAAAGCATGGTATTTTAAAGCGTAGGTCAGTAATCATATATGAGAGTATACACTGCTACATACAAATTACTGACCAGAGCACAACTTTTCAGTGTTCAAAACAGAATAAGCTTCCCTATAAAAGCAGCACCTTTGTGACATTTTTAATATTCCTCTCCTTCTTCGCCCTCTCCTTCCAACAGAATCCACACCAACTTCCTCATAATCCTTCTCAAGGGCATGCCCTCACTACATACCAGTGAACAAAAGTACACTTAGCATACATCAGGTTGTACTTGTGGTCCAGGTGAGCCCAGTCCTCAGCAATGGCTGTGGTGTTGCTCAGCATACACATAGTTCACTGTACTTAAACAAGGTCTCTACCAGGTACCACACTGGGAGGCTGGTAATACCAACATGGAAGCCAGTGGGGCACCGGTCCACACTAGATGTTATGCTTGGTCTTGACGGTGGCAATGGCAGCACTGCTATCTTTGGGAACTGAGTTGTCATGATACAGCAGGCAGTAAGACATGTATTTACCATGGTTAGAGTCACATTTCACCATCTAGTTGACTGGCTCAAAGCATGCATTGGTGATCTGTGCTACAGAAAGCTGTCCATGGTAGGTTTTTCTCAACAGAGATGACAGGGGCATATGTGGCCAAGGAGAAGTGGATGTAGGGATAGGGCACCAGGTGGGTCTGGAATTGTATCAGATCAATATTCAGGGCTCCATCAAATCTGAGGGAAGCCAGGATGGAGGAAAGACACAATTTGACCTATCAACCTGTAGGCTGGGCGTTTAATGTCAAAATTTCTCTAACAAATGATAGCCTTATGGGGTCTCCCTTGTATGTTACTGTTTCCTTTGCTGCTTGTAAAATTTTCTATCACTATTTTTGCCATTTTAATTACTTGTGTCTTGGTGTGGACCACCTTAGTTTGCTTTTGTTAGAGGCTCTCTGTGCATCCTGCATGTGGATTTCTGTTACCTTCCCCAGATTCAGAAAGATTTCATCTATTATTTCTTCAAATAAATTCTCTGGGCCCTATTGTCTCCTTATGGGGACTCCTATAATATGAACATTAATATGCTTGATGGTATCACTAAGTTCCGTTTTCATTTTTTTAAAGATTTTATTTATGTATTTATGTATTTATTTATGTATTTATTTATTTACTTATTTATTTTATTTATTTATTTATGAGAGACACAGCAGAGACATAGGCTGAGGGAGAAGCAGGCTTCTTGCAGGTAGCCAGATGTGGGATTCCATCTCAGGACCCTGGAATCATGACCTGAGCCAAAGGCTCAACCACTGAGCCACCTAGATGCCCTCCTGTTTTTCTCTCTCCTGTTCAGCTGGATTGCTTTCCATTACTTTGTCTTTCCAGTTGCTTATCTATTCTGCTTCCTCTAATCTCTTATTTATTCCATCTGGTATATTTCTAATTTCATTTATTGTGTTCTTCATCTCTGCTTGGTTCTTTTTTACATTTTCTATTTCTTGCATGTTTCATTGAGGTCTTCCACTCTTTTCTCAAGTCCCATACCTTTATGACCATTACTTTAAATTCTCTATCATGCATATTTCTTTTCACTGTTTTGTTTAGTTTCTTGCTGTCATTTTGTCCTGTTCTTTCATTTGGGACACATTCCTTTGTCTTCTCATTTTGTCTGACTCTTTGTGTCTATGTGTTGAGAAAATCACCTCCATCTCTTGTTCTTAAAAGTAGTGGCCTTAGGAAGTAGTAGTCCTGGAATATCCTGCTCACCAAAACTTGGCTCTTCAAGAGTGTCTCTTATGCATATTGCATGTGCCCTGCTACTGTAATTGAGCCACGTTTGTATTAGTCCAATCATGGCTCTTTTCCTATTGTGGACAGGGTTTGGTCCCTGTGTTGTACTAGTTTTGGTCTGCCTTGGGCTTGCAATGAGTCAGTCCAGGCATTTGCCAGAGGTACAGTAGCATTGAACTGCTGAGTACTTCTTGTGTTATCTAGGTGTATCATGGGATGAGGTGAGCTTAGGGTCCTCTTACTCAGCCATCTTCCCGGGAAGTTGCTGTTATTATTTATATTGCTAAGCCCAGTTATGGGAATGTGTTTTTTCAATAACCTAAAATTATATGGTCAGTTAATTTATGACAAAGGAGACAAGAATGTACAATGGGGAAGGATGGTCTCTTCAATAAATCGTGCTAGGAAAACTGGAGAGCCAAATGTAAAAGAATAAAATTGGACTACTTTTTTAAAACCATATACAAAAACTCAAAATGGATTAGAGACCTATATGGGAAGTGGCACCTGGGTAGCTCAGTCAGTTAAATATCTGACTCTTGATTTCAGTTGAGGTCGTGATCTCAAGATTGTGAGATCAAGCCATGTCAGGCTCCAGGCTCAGAGGAGTCTGCTTTTCTCCCCACCATGCTCCTTTGCTCCCATCCCCCCGCCCCCTGAGCACCTACACTTTCACTCTCTCAAATAAATAAGTAGATCTTAAAAAAACCTTAAAAAACCTAAATGGGAGTATGTTTTAATACTAAAAAGGTGAGAAGATATATTTCTTCCTCCACTGATCATATCTGCAACATTAACCAGATTTTTCAAATCACTTAACTTAGATCTTTCTACCTACCACTTTGACCTAACCGCAGGCTCAAGCTTTCTGCAGGGGTGGAGAAAGCTTTTTTCCAAACAAGTTCTTTAAACCTAAGTGGTGCCAGAAAATACCACAAACTACCACAAAAATACTTAATCTTTCCATACCTACATTTTATGAAATAATCAAAATCAAATTCGTGTAAGCTGTTTTCAATCACATATATCTAGCATTTCCCCCCTTCTACCCAGTTCAAGTTTAATCAGCAATTTCCAATTGTTTTATACTCAAGTCTAGATAAACATTTTATTTTTTTAAAGTTTTTATTTATTTATTCATGAGAGACACAGAGAGAGAGAGGCAAAGACACAGGCAGAGGGAGAAGCAGGCTCTGTGCAGAGAGCTGATGTGGGACTCAATCCCTGTACTCCAGGATCACGCCCTGAGCCAAAGGCAGACACTCAACTACTGAGCCACCCAGGCATCCCTCTAGATGAACATTTTAAATTATTGCTTTAGGGAAGCATCTTCTGCCCCATTATAACATTTCTTTTGCTCGATTTCACTACCATAAGTTCTATTTCTATAATCCTATCAGGAAAAAGACTGCGTAGTTTCTGTAGAAACTGCTTCTGGAACCATTTCAAAACAATCCCAAAGACAGTGTATTAATGTAGAGATATATTTCTACATTAATAAAATATGCTTTATAAATTAATCTCAAGTCTGGGCCAGAGACAGAAGGGTGAAAAGCCTGAATTCTATATCCACATAATCAACAGTCTGTGGAAACTGGGACCCACGCCATTGGTCTCCAACTTAGCACAGTTGGGAAATGACACATTCTTTATAAAGCACTCATCCAGGAAATGCGTGGGTCAAAAAGCACACCAGTAAAAGGTTCATAAACTTGTTTTATGAATGAAGTATAAAGTATACTGACTCCAAGCTGCAGCTCCTTTGAGTACATCATAATTTTTCAGTCATTCTCCAGTTTTTATGTTAACAGATCTATCATCTATCTATCTATCTATCTATCTATCTATCTATCTATCATCTATTGGGGAAAAAATGTCAACCATAAGAATATTGTCCCATGCCGTTTCATAATTATTGATAGTTTTCCAAATGTGCCCTCATTCTAAGATCATGCCTTCCCACCTGCCCTGTCCACCAAAAAAATGAAATGATACACACAAAACAATGCAAACTTATACTAATCAAATTTATTCATACTACCCATGAAAAGCAATTACATTTGTACATAAAATCATTAACAGAACAAGAGAAATCTGATTAGACATACAATACAGAAAAATAAGTGTGAAAATTAAAAATAGCATTTTAGTTATTAAACTTATACTGTACTTTCTACTTATTTATAGCAGCATCTGTATGATTCCTCTATCTGTTAATATTTAACTAGCAGCAAAATTTTAAAAATTACACAAACTCAGTAGATGTTTCCCTCCACTGTTTCATTCAAACAGAATTTATCACATTAATCAAACAAAACCACTTCTATTTCCTGAAGAAAAAAATAGGAAAATATTTCATAAGTTACCAGCTTCCCCCAAGAAGAAGAAAGGGTGGAGTGTGAAAGGAAGGTGAAAGAAATTTGCATGCAATTACCAAAAAGTAAATTCTCAGCCTCTTGACGAATTATGGGTGGATTTTATGGAGTCTCCGTGTGTGTTAGTGAATGAAGCTATGTTAACTTTATTTCCTGACTTTATGTTGCAGTTGAAAAATATGTGGAAGTTTCCAGGAGGCCTGTCAGAGCCTGGAGAAGATATTGGTGTGTACACCTTACATATTTTTAACTGGCTTGAAAATGTTCAGGAAATTTGTGTTTACTTTTTTGCTCTATAGCTGAAAATAAGATTTAAAATTTTCTAACTGGTTTATACTGAGAAATTTCAGAGAGGTTACTTCAGAGCTACTACAAAATTAGCAGCAAAACTTGTAATATTAAAACTTACCCCACTAGTATAAAAAATACCATTAGGAGCACAACACCTATTCTGTTTAGAATTGCTCCTAGGTTAATTTGTTTGAAAAAGCTTTGGGGATCCCTGGGTGGCTCAGCGGTTTAGCGCCTCCCTTTGGCCCAGGGTGTGATTCTGGAGACCCGGGATCAAGTCCCGCATCAGGCACCCTGCATGGAGCCTGCTTATCTCTCTGCCTGTGTCTCTGCGTGTCTCTCTCTCTCTGTCTCTCTCTGTATCGCTCATGAATAAATAAATAAAATATTAAAAAAAAAGAAATAAAAAGCTTTGCATATACATTAGAAAATTTTAGCAATAAGGGTTATTTTGGATTTGACTAATATTGTTACTGGAATTAAACTATAAGAAAACACAAATTCTTGACCATTTCACCCCACAAGGATGAACAGTAACTTTCAAATGAACCTCAAAATAAGTATTTATAAAGTCACCTATAGAGCAGAGGTGACTTAATTCTCCTCTTTATCTACTATTTATTTTAAATAGGAAGTCAAAACTTAGTAAAATGTCTCATACAAGAAAGTCTCAAATGAGAACTCCCTAAAACAACTTCCTGAGCTCAATCAGCTCTTGTTTTTCAAACAAGAAAATGTGAAATAAGCTAAGAACTCTCCATGTTACTGATTTTAGAGTAAATAGAAGAATAAAGACAGAGTTTTCCTACCTATTCCTGACCCTTGAATAGGTCAAATGCAGTCTGCATCATAATAAATCAAGATGCCTCATTTGATCTCAAGTATTATTTCTCCATGATTTTTTTCCTCCATATGCATGTCCCCTACTTAGCCAACATTTATATATAAAGGCAACTTCCGAGGTTCTTTATAAATATTTTAAAATGTATATATATTTGAAACTTGATTTTTTTAAAATGTTACACAGATGAAAATGCCCTGAAAACAGTAAATAGCCAACTCCTAACAAACCATAAGTAAATTTACTACACTGAGATATGTCCATAGCAAATTTTGGCCTTTAGGTACTTAAGGATCTTCTGCTTAGATTCTATTGCTTAGGTCTTCTGTTGAAATAACAGATTTTGTGGTGGTGCAAGGAGTGAAAGAGAGGGCCACTTATTTTGGAACACCTAATTATTTCATACTATCCTTATGTGATATATGAGATTGTGTGTGAACTAGTTAAATTTATGTCTTACATCCTTACCCAATCCATATTGGACAAAAATCAGGCTACAGGAAGTATGTTTAGCTTCCTGTAGCTTGCCTTCTCAAATTAATTGACTTTTTCCTTTTGAGTTTTTATGGATCTTGTGAATTTTCAGTTTACTTATATTTAAATGCAAATGAAGAACACATTTTCAAACCAAGTATACATAATTTTAGGTTTAAGTGTACTCCAGAACACTTCAAGTCCAAATTAAAAACAACAAAAAAAGTAGTGAATTCTGAATTAAGTATTTGTGGTTGGCACAACAACCCTACCTATCTAGAGAGCATATATATACCTCAACCATGAGAAGTTACAAGAAAAGCAGATGGCATTCATCATATTGCTTAGGAGTATGTAAATTAAAGCTTTCCCTTAGAACTGATAAAACCCTGAAAGCAGCTAGAAATGATAACTGACAATAGAGTTCTGGAGACTATGTCCATATTAGAGCATTTCTGTCTTATAACACAACAGATTATCCTTGAGGATGAGCCAAATTACCTAAGTATTGAAATTATTTTCTTTAAACTCTGTATTTAGGAGTGTATTTATTTTAGGAATACAACCATCACAAATGTGCACACATTCATATTAGCTCTTGAGTAGTAAACTCTAGTTAACTGGGAAACACGTTTGTTTGGAATCCTTCATTCTTTGATAATACTAGGTAAATGAAGCACTTAAAAAAATTAAGGGGGGGGTGGCATATATAAAATAGAATACAATCTTCAGGCTTTAATATAATACCCTAATAGTACAAAAGTATCTACAAGGTTAAAACCAGAGAAATTGCCTTCCTAAAAAATCATCATTACCATCGACAGGAAGAGAATCTCCTGCATGGTCAAAGGACCAGAAAGCAGCAGGGGGTTCTGTTCAGAGCTCATCAGTGCACCAGAATCAGAGGGAAACACCAGGGAAACCCACATTCTGCACAGTTTTTCCTATTTTATTTCAACCTGATCCTATTGTTAAATATTACAAACTAGAAATAACAAAATAAACTCCATTTCACTGTCCTGTAACTAAACAAAAACACTGTGACATATTTAAACATATCTCTCAATCAGCAAAAATAAAAACGAAAACTTCTTGGTTTTTCCTATGTTCCTTAAACATAATAAAATAGTAAATGTTATTTCACTTGAGCTTACAGTACATTAAAATAAAGGTACAACAAAATAAAGCAGTTTATCTGGATAATAAAATTTAAATTCATGGCAAAAAAGCTGTGGGGTAAAGATTTCCATTTTGAGGAGGAAGGAGTCACTCATATCCTGGATGCAAAAGCACTTATATACCCAGTCAATTTTTAGTCTAGTCAATAATATGTTGACTCAAGTTAAACTGATCAAACTACCCAGGCGGTGCTGATTTCTAATCAACAGCTAAGGTGATTGCTGAGTAAGGTAGATTCACTCACTAGTCTGTCCTGTGCCTCCATGATACATAAAAAGGCTAGATTCCAAATGAAATGCCAAATTCTTGATTAGTGGTAGTAAGAGCTTAACGGAACCCCCATGGTTATTTTTTTTAAAGTGCTAACAGAGTAAACATTTAAACAATAGTTAAATTGTAAATCTCATTTGCTGATTTCACTTAAGACTAGTGCCACAACCTGTAACAAACTTAATAACAAACATCTATTGTATTCCCAGCTGAAAATTATCTTTCTTAAGGAAGATTTTCCTTTTATTCACATAAATTCTTTTTTTATGTTTTTCGTTTAAAACAGTAATTTCAAACCATGTTTAATCTATGGAAAATCTCAAGGGGAAGTCAGCATGTAATTCAAAATGGTGGACAAATGTCTTACATTTTAGAACACTTTGCTTTTCCTGTGCATATTGCTATAGCTGTTTCTTAAAAAACAAACAAACATGAGCTTATGTAGGCAATTGTTAAGACAAGGCAATAGCCCAACTACAGGAAAATTGAGATGTTTTTCCTTTTTTTCTTCTTCCTTACCTATTCGTCACCAGTATAATTTTCTATTTGACAAGGCAATAGAAGCATTGAATAGAGGTCTTTGAACAAAAATCTATGCCTGTGACAATTGTGAAATTGGGAAGCTTCTAAGCAAACTGAGCAAAGAAGGCAGCTATTTAAAGAGTTTCTCATAAACACTTTAGGAGACAGTGACAAAGCATCACAAAATTAGAGAAAGCCCATTTAGGGGGTTCTTCTGGAGATTTAGAAAAAGCAACCACAGAAATATTAATGGCGATCAAAATCCTGTCCCAGAAATTTGCATAATATTGAAAAATCAACCTTATAAAATATGAAATCTATGTTGTATTATAAAATTCTGTAAATTGCAAGCTTTTCTTTTTTTTTTTTAACACTTTTGATAAAACAGTTCTTTGGAATCTCAAGAAACCAAGGAAATGCCAAAAATTACTGGGATTCCACTGACAGAATAATTAGGGGAGCATAACAAAATGGTTATAAATGAAACTCTTCTATGACTTCAGAGGCTTGACAGTCCCACCCAAGATCACCATGAAGGTTTTGAACTTTTCGCAGCTCAGTACATTCTGCAGCTCTACAGACTTTTGTAAGGAAGAATGAATCAATTTTTCTCAATACTGATATGTATAAATTTAAGCAGTTTTGATGGATGATCACAAACAGGAAATAATGAAGAAATATGTAAGAATGTTAACTTGCAAGAACCTGTATTTTCAACTTTTGGGAAATAGAGTCAGAAGAGGTTAAAAATGTGACCCCCAAAATATACATAGCAGGTGGGTAAGTCTACAAATAGCAGCCAAAGAAATATTTGATATTTCAAAAGCTTCTAAGATATATAGTTGTAAGAAAATACTTTGGTATTTCAGGATGTCCAGAAGGCAAAGAGTTTATGTTGAAGTTTTGCTTTTCAACCTTTGGATAATGCCACTTTATCTTAAAATCTTTGTTGATTAAAATTCTCAAAGTGTGATCCTTACTGATTTGTACACCTATCTTTTATGTAGGAGACACAGCAGTTCGAGAAGTTTTTGAAGAGACTGGTATAAAATCAGAGTTCAAGTCCCTCCTGAGCATTCGGCAACAGCACGCCAATCCTGGAGCTTTTGGGAAGTCAGATATGTATATCATCTGTCGCTTAAAGCCATATTCATTCACCATAAATTTTTGCCAGCATGAATGCTTAAGGTGTGAATGGATGGATCTCAGTGACCTGATCAAGACTGAAAATACAACTCCTATCACCAGCAGAGTCGCTAGGCTGCTGCTCTATGGGTACAGAGAAGGGTTTGACAAGATTGATTTCACCATGGAAGAACTTCCGGCAGTTTACACAGGCTTGTTCTATAAACTCTATCACAAGGAACTGCCAGACAATTACAGAACTATGACAGGAATGGATTAAACCCATATTTGCACATTTTAAAAAATCTTAAGTAAATTGTACATGCAGAATAATGTGTGCCATATTATAAAAAGTAGTGGACATTTGGGGTTAACTAAATATCTGATTTTAATTTTCTCATGAGTATAATTTACATGAAGAAAACTTACTTGAAGAAAATGTGCAAATTTTAAAAGCCTCTTTTAAAATGAAGCAAATGTAAGAAAAAGATTGTAGCTCTAAGTAAGCTTCACTAGATAAAGGCAAATGCAATATAAAAGGTGGAAATGTCTATACATTTTCCAGGCATTGTTGTTGCTTTTTCTTTAGTAAGGCAATGATTAAATATTTACTATTAGATAAAAGGTTATCTGACCATTTATCCAAACCGAGCAGATCACTGTACACATTTTTTCTTTTCTTTCATTAACAAATTTCTAAAATATACGTCTTCTTTCATGTGAAATGAGATAAGATGCTGCCATTTAGATCAGCTCTTAGCAGACATTGGAAGAAAAAGTATAGCTTTCTGCCCAGGTCCTGTTTTTGGTCCAAGTTTATACTGCCCAGTTCGTTTCAGTGCCACATACCAACTAGAGTATTTCCTTGACCGGTAAGTATTGTAGTTATTAGATTCCAATCGTTCAAAAAAGAAGCACTCGTCGGTAACACATTTCTGAAAAATAAAGGAAGAATTAATAGTTACTATTATATTTTCATATGAAATACTTAGGATACTACACTCTCCATTCTGCTCAACCAGCAGCAGTGCTCTTGGCTTCAGCAGGACAGACTAGTTTGCAAGACTCAACAGGCCAAAGTCAGACAGGATCTAACTCTGTAGAGGGATGCAGGAAGGAACACAGCAAGTCATCAGGAGAGCTTTCAAGCACATCTCTTCAAAGGAAGACTCCAAGGACCAATGTCCAGCCCCCACAATGGACAGGCCAGGTATTAGGCAGCAAGAGCACACCGCTGCTATAGGAACCACACTGCCTCAGACTGGAAACATCCCGTGAACGAACACAGATTTCAAAAGGGGGATACACCCAGTAACAAAGAGCGCAGTACACTAAGTGGTTTCCGGTTAGGTATTTATGGTGCATCCATAGTCCTCCCAGTCCAGAGGCAGGTTACCGATTAGGGATCATTTTTCTTTTTATCAGGGTTCCATGAAAGTGCTAGAAGAGTAACCCAGAAGTAACCTTCCTAAAGAAGAAGGGCTTTGTTGCTACTTTACTCACAGAAGCAGAATCAATTCCTTAAATTATAGCAATGTTTTCCTAATGGTTAATGTTTCTAAGGCATAAAAAGAACAGTTTATTATACAGAAAATAGCTAATGTATATAATGCCAAAAAAAAAAAGAATTGGAACATTACATCTGATGAATCATTATCTGTTAGTGTTTTGAGACTACTAAGTAACGAAGACCATACTGACTTCTGGCAGTGTCTTTCTTGTGAGAGAGGAAACTACTCCCCCTTATCATTTAGGTTCAACTCTTTACTGGGGGTGGAGGATAGCTAGCTTTACAAATAATTAGACCTGGAAATACTATTCCAAGTAATGGAGTCTAATAGGCTGCTACATTATTTCAAGTAAATGTTCAAAAATCAACTTGACAGGTTAGACTGTTGATAGTTTCTGACCCCTGGGGTGTGTGTTGGGTGGGGCGGGGGGGGGGGTGTCAACAAATGATTTACTATAAGGGAAGAAAGGAAAACTAATTTACTTTTTATATTACAATTAGGAAGAAAAATTATAAACCTATAGAAAACCATATAAATTTATACATATTTGTATCTTTACATATAAGTACAACATGCATACATAGATATATATAAAACTATATTTTTGTATTAATGAGTGTACCAGATTCCAGCTTATTTCTACTACTCAAATCTAGGAAACTTTAGGTTTAGGAAAAGACACATTCAAAAGACTTTTTCCAGATTCTTTAGTTCTTAAATAAACAGTGGCACAAACTGAGAAAAACGTAAATCAATAAACAGAACAATGAAGAGCTGACATAATAACCAAAATGCAAATGGTCTAAATGGGAGTAACAGGTGTCTCTGTCATCTAAAGTAAGGGTGTGGTATTAGATCTTATAATTTGCTTCTAGGGATAAAAATTTAACTGGATATTTACTTGGCTTTAATGTTTTTGATCACTGTTAACTTTTAAGAATGGCAATACAGGGGATCCCTGGGTGGCGCAGCGGTTTAGCGCCTGCCTTTGTTTGGCCCAGGGCGCAATCCTGGAGACCCGGGATCGAATCCCACATCGGGCTCCCTGCATGGAGCCTGCTTCTCCCTCTGCCTATGTCTCTGCCTCTCTCTCTCTCTCTCTGTGACTATCATGAATAAATAAATAAAATCTTTAAAAAAAAAGAATGGCAATACAAATTTATCTGATTTGCCCATTTTTTGCAAGAAATTACTAATAAAGCAACTTAGTCTTCCGATGCAAATAAATGACAGGTAGCATTACAGAGAAGCACACATTGCACAAGGACCCAGCTCTGTGATAAATGTAAAGATTCAAGTGTGATAATGGTGAAACACTTATACCTAGAAAAATGTGGATATTCCATGGCCAATACTTCCACTTTACCTTTGGTGAAATTTATTATGCTTTTCATTTAACATAAGTCAACCAGTGTTACTTTATTTTGTCATCTTTCAGTACCACTGATAAAAAGTCTTCCTCTTTCCCTATTCCAGGTTTAAGATCAGGAGTAAAAGAAGTAGGTGCAAGAGTGAAAAAAAAAATCATGGTAATCATAAAGATAATTATAATTGAGCTTCACAGGCTAATTTCCCAGAGGAAGACCTAAACCACATCATTCTGGACACTGATTTTGGGGTGCTCTGTCAGCCTCCAGGGTGCCCTCCTTGCTAAGTTGGCACTCCCTACAATGCCAGACCTATTGGGATATATATCAAGTCAACGATATCTGCCTTCTCAGCTAGTTCCTACTATTTCAGAGAAAAGTAATAGTACCAGTGATTAAGTGGATAATACATCATGAATCCACTTTTTTTTTTATTATAAGTTACTTGTACCTTTACAAAAACAGGGAAGGAAGAAAAACTTGCACCTGTGCATGTTAAGATATGTAAATTTACTAAACTATTACACACTTGAAAACAAACTACATTTTTCAAACTACATTGATGGGGGTATGTCAAAGAGTATAGGAGCCAACTGGAAAAGTTCCCAATGGCCATGGCAAAAGTAGTTTGAACAAAATAAGTAACACAGTATTGGATTATAACCTAAAGTATAAAATCAGTATCCATGAGTGTATACTGACAGATGTGATTAAATAAATGGAGAAGAGACAAATTTCTCATGCAAAAGAATTCCAAATTTTAGAGATTTCCCCCTCAAGGAGATGGAGAATAAGCCCTTATCCCTTAAATGTGGACTACGTAAAGTGACTTACTTATAAAGAATACAGTGTGGAAAGGCAGGAAAAAGAATAATGTTTATTGTAGTAGAGACAACACTACCTCAGCCAGATGATCAAGATTAATATAAGTCTTGATATACAATGAAAAAATAAGCAGGGTAATTTCTCCTCCTCACTGCCATTTCTTCGCCTTATGCACCGATTGCACAAATCTGGTCCACTGCTAAATGTTAGATGTGAACTTTATGGCCATTTCCCCATGCTCTGTTTTTTTGGATTGTTTATTCTTTTACAGTACTTTGATTTTTCAGTTTTGGCTTAACAGGGAGTTTGCTCAACATGGATCCAAAAATGCTTTGCTTACACCACTTCTGAGAATTAAAACCAGACATGATGTGAGTATCAATGTTGATTATTTCAGAACAAAATAAAACACTCAAATTATGAAAAGGTAAAAGCAAATTTGACCTTAATCTTTGTATATACATATATGTTGTGTAAATTTTATAAGGTTGGTTTCTAAAACCAATAATTTTCATTAGGTAGTAAACTTTGCATTTAATCTAAAACTAAACTTTGCATTTATCTCTTAAAAATAATATACATTACCCTTCAATTACTCTATTTTTCTGACAAATTTGATCAGTATATATTGCCAATCTAGATAATTGAGCCCTCAAAAATCTATTTTCCCTAGTCTCATTTCATGATTAAGGCCCTTCAACTAAGAAAGTTATTCTATAGGTTAAAAAAAATTTTACTTTTTACTGTAATTAAGTGTATATCGTCCAAATACATTTTTTCATGTTTCACTATAATGGATCAATGCAAGTTATATACACATTTTTAATATTGAGATATCTTGTTCAAGATATCATGATGAATAGCATTATATAGAAATCAATATGCAATTTTCTAGCATATAAAGACCAGGTAAATTTTCTATACCAATGCTAATATTGATGCTTTTTGGTGACTTAAATTTAAAACTACAGCTAAGTTCACTATATGCAGTTTTTTACAACTACAATTTTGTGAACACATAAATCATGAATCCTAATATTTGTTCTTGACTTCTGTTGTTCATGGCAACAAAATTTATCCTGCTGTGGAATGGAATAAAAGTCTGTTGCATATTTAAAAACTACTCAATTTCAGCCTCTAAATATAGGCTTTGGCAGTTAAATATAGTTACTCTTTAAACTTTTATATTTTCTAGCTTCAAAAAAGGGCAGAGGAAAGACCCTTAAATGTTTTCAAACAGTGAGAATTCCTTAGCCTGAAAGCATTCATGCCATTACTATGTGAAGGTATTGGGGGAAAAAAATAGTACACAACTTGTCTTTTTTCATACTCTTAACTGGTATCAGTCAACAAAACATGACTCTTAGAAACCAAAATATTTTATGTGTCCAGACTATTCTTTCTGAGAGGAAATGAGGATGTTTTGCAAATCACTGCAGGAATCATACACCTGGGAGAAGGCAGTAGACTCCAGGGATGTGCCATAACACAACAGTCTGAAATGGGGCCAGGTAGAAGAGTGGAAAGAAGTATGCCTGTGGCAAGTGCAAGTTCATAACCCCCAATTTCTCCAGGTTATAAGGAGTATCTGCAACCTCATGATTGCTAGTGGTCACAACACTGGACTTACACCAAAAGTTGCTCTTAGGTTTTTTGTTTGGCTTTTTATATGCCAGGTGTCTCTTATCATTGTCACCTGAGTGAGGTCTCTGCTGACGTCCCTGGCTATGGTGTCTTTTACCATCAGAGATTCATCTCAACCCATTAAATACTGGCACAGATACTAATAGCCACGGGTTGAGACTTTTAATTTCTTGCCTAAAAGTTGCTGTTATTGACAGCTTGATGCCTAGGGGTCTGACTCAGAAAGAAATATGTCACTTAACTGACCCACTGACACCACTTCCTTGATTTGAGGGTAGGGGCTTACTTCTCATCTGAAAATTGACGTAGCCCACCCAGACTAATTTAAGAAAGAGGATTGCTGCTGAAATGTCAAGGAAGCAAGCCACATACATTGAATGGTAAAACTGGAGATTAACTCATGAACTTGGCAGGAACAGAGCCTATGATGGGAGCTACAACTGAATCTTAGCTGTTGCCGCTGATAAATCCTTAATTTTCCATATATGTGTAATACCTGCAGCTTTGTTCCTACATAGTCTGTGATAAATTTCTAAGCATTGCTAAATTAACTCTTACTGCATCGACTTGAAGGAAATCTGTTGGATCAGGAAGAATGAACCTATAGCCAAAAGGATAGAAACAAATTTAAGACTAAATAAAATGCTATGACCTTAATCTTGCGAAAGGTCCTGTTGCACTAAGGAAGAAACTATAAAACACTTTATTTTAGAGCAATTTCTGCTTCTCGTGGCACAGAATCAACAGTTTGGAAAGCTTAATGACTGTTTACCAAGAGAAGAGGTCAAAATCCTCTTAATTCTAACTTGTAGGGAATTCTGTAAGAATGAGAAGATAGTTCAGTTTTCTTATCTATTGTTTTAAATTCATCTCCTCTTTTATGGACTCCAGTAGTTTCAGAGATGCTCTTGAAAGTAAAGTAGTTTCTGTTTTCAACACTTTTGACACCTATGAAGCTTTTAATCATTAACGATGAACATATATTCCAGCCTATGTTTTGAGATAAATAATCCCTCCAATGCCACCATGATTACTAGGTTACTTGATCTTTTAATCTCAGTAAGTGGAAAACTACAGAATAACAGTTTCAAATTGTCCACTGAACTAGACTAAGAAAGAGAAAAAGGTGAGAACTTTAAAACCACTTGACTAGTGTTGTCTACAGTTAGTCATAACAAAAGCAAATGTATGTATCTCCTTTATTTTCCCCACCACCTTCACTGTTTGACAGTAGCCAAAGCAACACCGAACCATTGCAGAAGCCATCATGAGTCACACTACAGGTGTTTTGTCACATACTGACGTGAGAAGAGTAGGAGTAAACCTCTCCTCTCTACAAACTCAAAGTTGTCCAAAATTACTGATTCACTGTCCTGGAAATATTTAAAGTGCTACTTTGGTAGATTCCCAGTGCATTACATCACCCTTTAACTTGACAACAGACTGGTAGAAAAAAAGACAACAGTAGAAGTAAAAGTCCCAAGTAGTCCATCTTGTAGGACTATATTTTTTGCCTGGGAATCGCATCCATTCTCCTAATACAACTATTACCTATATGCTGATGACACCCAAATCTATATGTGACAGACCTCTCTTCCAAATTCCAGACCACAATTACAACTATGTAGTGAACATCTCCATCTGAATTTCTCTTAGGCAACTCAAACTAGGTAAGTCTAAATTTGAACCTGTATTACCGTTTTCCAGAACTTGCTCTTTTCCTCCTTCCCCTTTCTCATCTACCTTCTCATACAAACCAGAAACTGAGGACTTTTTCCTCTATTTCACTCCTAAATCTAATCAATCTCAAGTGCTAGTACTTTACTCAATCCTCTGTCCTGTCATTGCCAGGTTTTCATCATCGGGACTATTACAATGGCCTTCTAACTGGTTTGTCTCCACCAGTTTCAGCCCCATCAAATCTGTCCTCTACACTGCTGCAGAGTGATGTTTCTCAAATTCAAAACAGATTGTGTCTCTTAAAACCCTTCATGGATTTCCACTGTGTGTAACACATGGTGTATAAGGCACTTAAGCAGGTAGTCTATCTCTCCAGCCCTATCTCTTCCCTTCTACTTTGCATTTCCTTTGCACTTTACACTCCAGAAGTAGTGAATTATTTGTAATGCTAGAGAAGTACTTCCTAAGCCTTCTCCACCCATGCCTTTGCATATACTATGTTCTAAAACATAGTATATGTTCATCTCCACTCCTCTGCTCCTGACTGCCTGATGATTTCCTCCTATATCATCTAAAATCCTATTTATAGGTCGTCTTCCAAGACAAGTCTAATCACTTCTTTTCCTATATTACCTCCTATATCATAATACTTATTTCCTATCCAATATTACTATACATTTACACAGTATATAGAAGGAACACATCAAAACCCTTACACTTACAAATACTTATTTACACTTCTACCTCCCCAGGATATGATTCATTAAGGGCACAGATCATTTTGTATTAAATTTTATAACCCATACGCCTAGCATCTGGCAACTGTATACTCAATACTGGCTATTCTTGAAGAGGATTCTAAAGTTTATTCAATTACCAAAGAGAGAGCACACACCATTACACCCAGAGTTGTTATTTATCCTGCAAAAGTCATGTAAATTGAAAAATATGTCAGCATAAATACATCTTTGTCAGACGATCAATCAGATGATTGAAATACTCTATAACTCTATTTTGGTACCTTCAGAAATCCAAAGGTCTTCACTCAGAAAAAAAATTCAAAAACTCTGTATGGCTTAAAATACAACTGCTCAGTAATACTGGATCTCCTCTGTGGGGAAAGTTATAGGCAATAGTAACTGGCTACTGGCATTGGTATCATGGCTGCGGTTTATGTGTATACACACACACATACACACACTTTTAGGTATGTATCCCATCTACTCCCCCAGTGAGACAGAAGTGGGGTCTTTTATCCTGCTTTCTTTTCTCTGCACTATTTCCCACACATCATGTCTGCCCAACAGACATGTAATCCTGGTTCTAATGACAATGGTGGAGTTCACAGGGCTGCTTTAGTGAAAAGAATACTAGCCAGGAGCTGTGACTCCTGACTAGCTGTTGATAAAAAGTAAAAAAGTGAAGTCCTTGTCCTTAATGAATTTATATATAAATAGAAGATGAAGCAAAAATTTTGAGGATCTATGATACATGATCCAGATTTGGGCATTTGATATAAATTATCTAGTTTAGTCCTCACAAGAACTCTCTAAGGTAGGATCATTACTGTCTCTATTTTACAGGTAAGGGATCTAACTCAGAATAATTTGCTTGAGAACACACAGCTAATATGTGGCAGTGCCAGTATCAGTGTCTAGGTTAAGAGCCCACATTCTCAACTAGTACTCTATACTGTAAACATTTTGTATGTGAAATCTGAAAGAAGAAACCGGATACTGAAAAGTTTATATGTCCATCTCACTGATCTTCAAACAACTGCTTAATATAAGAATTTTAACAACTGTAGCTTAATAGCTTTGCAGAGAAGGCAGTAAAATGCAATGAATTAGAGCTCATGCTCCAGAGTCCAGAATGCCTCAGGTGCCATCTTATGTTCTACCTCATGTGAGCTGTGTTTCCATGGTTACTTTATTATGCCCCAGAACTTCAGTTTTTGTATCTGTGAAATAGAGTGAGTACCACTACTTTATAGGATGAATACGAAGATTAAATTATATAATCCGTAATAAAAAATAAATACCAATACTAGTAAATTAACAGCAACAAAAGCTAACAAATAAAAAAAAACTACAAAAAAACAGAGAACATTACTTACAGAAGCCAGTAATCTTCCATCTTCCTTCATAGCAAGATAGCGATTTGCACATACTCCTTTGATGGACACAACGCCTCTCTCTTCTGCTTGAAGTTGCAATTTGACTGTAATGGAAAAATTACCTTTGTGGCATCACAGAAAAAACAGCCGTCTGCACATTTACACAATATGAAGTCAAGTGCAACCAGCTAATCCACTCTGGAGGGTTTGCAAGGTGGGGGATGAGACAGATGTCGATTAGATCATATTAGGATGAGATACAGATCCTCTAGAATTTGAGTGCCTCTGGATTCCCTTCTCCTGGGTCAATAAAGTGATAGAATGGAGAATGTTTTCCTTTCCTTTGATGTGCAATTAGCCTCCACTTGGCCCTGTTAACTGCTTACAAGGTCTTAAAAAGTGAACAGATTTTAAAGTACATAAAAATGAAAAAATAAAGTACATAAAAATGTAGGGGCACCTGGGTGGCTCAGTCAGTTAAGCCACCAACTCTTGGTTTCAGCTCAGGTCATCATCCTGGGACTGAACCTGGCTTCAGGCTCTGCATTCAGTGAGGAGTCTGCTTGTGGATTCTTTTTCTCTCCCTCTGCCCTTGCTCATGCTCTCTATTAAATATTTTTTTAAAATAAAAGTACGTAAAGATATAAACCACTTGTAAGAATTTCCACACTAAGTTTAAACTTTTTTAAGGTTGTTTGTTTATTAAGAGAGAGAGTGCAGGGCAGCCCCGATGGCGCAGGGGTTTGGCGCCGCCTGCAGCCTGAGGTGTGATCCTGGGGACCTGGGATTGAGTCCCACATCGGGCTTCCTGCGTGGAGCCTGCTTCTCCCTCTGCCTGTGTCTCTGCCTCTCTCTCTGTGTCTATGTATAAATAAATAAAATCTTTTAAAAAAGAGAGAGAGTGCACACGTTCACACAATGTGGAGGAAGAGGGGGAAGGAAGAGCAGAGGGAGAGGGAGAGAATCTTAAGCAGACTCTATGGTGAGTGCAGAGCCTAACCCGGGCTCAATCTTAAGACCCTGAGATCATGACCTGAGCTGAAATCAAGAGTCCATGCTTAGCTAAGCCGCCCCAGTGCCCCTTAAAAGTTTTTAACCAATTCTTCACAAAATATAATTGAATTACTACTATCTTTTGGTTTGTATTTCCTTGAGTTTCTACACGTATTTCTAGCTTCCCCTTTAATACAATACCAATGTATAAGTATGCCTTTCTCTATGGATGGATTGTGATGTATACCTTTTTTTTTTTTTTGGCAAATATCTATCTCGTGGAAAAACAAAATGCTCATACTTAATTTGCTTTTACAGTATGTTGAAAGATTTTCAGAATGTAAGATCCTGAAGAGGATGACTTGTTAATACTGCATTATCAACATTAAGCAGACTGTTGGAAAAAGAATAGATATTACATGATTATGATTATCCCATAAGGATAATTATCTAATTAATTCAAATAAAAATGAAGTTAACAGGTTCTGTTTTACTATTCAGAGTTTGCATTTTTCTGCCAAAATAGTATTCTTCAAAATACCTTTTAGCTAACAGATTACATTAAAAAAAAAAACAGGTTCTGGGGCCAAATAAATTTCGGAAATTTTTGGTTAAGCCAGGTTAACTCTTTATTGCCAAGTTTCTCAGAACTTTGCTTCTTACAACTGCATTATAAGTCACCATAAGGGTATACATTGTTTATAAAATTTACCTGGTCTCAGAATGAATTATGAACATATCTATGAATGTATCTAGGACATTCTTCAGAGCAATAGAAAAAATAAACATTCAAATATTTAGAAATAATAATATTAATTAGATAAGATTAGAAACTAAGTTAATTTACCCAGGTGTGTCCAAGTAGCTAGGGAAACTTGGCATGAAAAAGCAATGTTTCAAAGATTCTGGAATAACTAACTTTGTTAGGTATTATGTCATAGTAATTATGTTTTAAAATTGTCTATATCAGAGAAACATACAGGTAAAAAAAGACATAACATCTGGGATTAGCTTTAAAACATTTTAGCAATCAAAAAATAAAATATTCTAGCAGCCAATCAAATTTTTTATAAAGTGGGCAGGATAAATAAAACAAGATTTGATTAACTGATGTCAATAGCTATTAGAAGCATGGGAGCTTATTATTCTATTTGCTCTACTTTATGAATGAGAATTTACATTTAAAAAAATCTGTTGAACATTTAATGTCTGATTCTCCTCTGTGTAACAGTCTCCTAGATTTCAGAGAACATAGCATTAGGTAAGCTTGCATTTACCAGGCAAAATTCTACAGAATCTTAATAGATAATATAAGGTAAAAAAAATATAATCAAACATGAAAACTAAACAAAGAAGGGCATAAGGTCTTTTTCACAACATTACAGGGAAGGATAGAAAATAAGCTTTATTTTTAACAGATATAACCAAAATTACGTTAATGAATATAAACAAATTCTTGTATACAGCTCTAATATGATCCAGATAAGCCATATTAATTATGAATACATTTATATCTCTTTTCAACTCATAAAGCTGCATACATGCTCATGAGACAAGACTGCATAATCACTATACTTTCTTTTGGTGCTTTATCAATAAACTGTATAGCCTAGTGGTACCCTACTATCACTAAGTGTGTATTACTGGTCATAAGGGAGATTATGTATATTAACATGGGGCCAACACCAGTGACTCAATACCCCAAGCAAACGCCATCACTCCTTGACCTTGTACAGATTCCTTGGGTATTCCACACTAAGCAATTATCACTCAATATGAAGCCACAAAAAAATAAACATTAATTGTAGATGCTTAAAAAATGTTTCCATTGCCATATAATCATAAAAATATACACTTTAAAGATAACCACAGCCCAAAACAAGCTGTATGAGCCATAAAATCATAAATTTTCTTTAAAATCCCATTAAGGGGCAGCCCTGGTGGCACAGCGGTTTAGTGCTGCCTACAGCCCGGGGTGTGATCCTGGGAACCCAGGATCGAATCCCACGTCAGGCTCTCTGCAGGGGGCCTGCTTCTCCCTCTGCCTGTGTCTCTGCCTCTCATGAATAAATAAAATCTTTTAAAAATAAAAAAAAGTAAATAAAATCCCATTAAGGCTGAGTTGCAAAGTAACCTAAATGAACTAAATTCCACATACAAATGATCCCTTCCCATAAAAGAGATGACTAATTGCTTTTATCTCTAACAGAAGAATAAACCTGGCAAAAAGGGAAATATGGAAAAACCATCTGAAATTTTATTAACTCAATAGCTGTTGATGTGAGGAATTAGAGTTCTGAGGAGCTCTAATCAAAGAACAACTCCATGCCCACCTGCCAGTTCTCTCACAGAGCTTGCACGGAGTGCACAACCACCACACATCAAAGGCTGGGACAGAACAAAAGGGCTGAGAAATTCTCCTGAAGTACCCTCAGGCCTTTGCTGAGTGTAAAGCCACAGTTCACTGAAGGCTAGAAGCAGGACAAAGCTGAGTAAGATCCCTCTGACAAGCAAGAAGCCTTCACCAAATTAAAAGCAGGATAAAGAGAGATCTCACAAGACAAGTTGAGGAGCAAGGCTAACTGCTGACCTACCCAAACAGTTGTCAGCTGGGCTATAAGGCAAAATAGAATACAAAAAAAAAAAAAAAAAAAAATCCAATTAACCCAAAAGAAGGAAGGAAGAGAGAAACCAGACAAAGAACAGATGAGGAAATTAGAAAATAAGATCCAAGATGGTAGATTAAACCCAAACATAACAATAATTACACTAAATGTAAATGAACATTTACATTTAAGGGAAAAAATTGTCAACAAGATAAAAAAGCAAGATTCAGCTGTGTTGTTAATAAGACAAGCACTTTAAATACAAAGACAAAGGCAAGTTGAAAGTAAAAATGTGGGAAAAATATAAAAGTATAAGAATGTTGGTATGGCTATAATATTTGATAATGTGGACTTCAGGGCAAGTAGTATAGAGATGAACAAGGTAATTGCATGATGATAAGAGGTCAGATGCATCAAGAAGACATAATAATCTTAAATGTGTAGCACCTAATAGAATCCTAAAATAACTGAAGCAAAAATTAAGAATATGGAATTTATGAATATTATCTACCAAACTGACCTTTTTTAGATCATGTAGCTTTCATTCACCTGGGACTTTCTGCTCCTCTTAACATCATAGTTATTTGAAAACTGTGCTAAAAAAAAATATTAACTGCCAGCATAGTAAGCTATTCTATGCTTATTTGCCTAGTGAACTTGACTTGCTCAAATCAATCAACTCCAGCTGACAAGTTTTTTTTTCCAAAGTCACCATGATATTAAATAATATCAAGGGCTCTTAGGATGCCTGGGTGGCTTACTGGTTGAGCGCCTGTCTTTGGCTCAGGTCATGATCCCGGAGTCCTGGGATCAAGTCCTACAACAGGCTCCCCAAAAGGAGTCAGCTTCTCCCTCTGAGCATGTCTTTGCCTCTCTCTGTGTCTCTCATGAATAAATAAAATATTTTTAAGAGGGGGGGCTCTTGTACTGAACTACTGGTGCTCCTAATTCCTTTAACAGTCTGTAGTAATTCATATATGATACAATTCATTTAAAATGTACAAACAAATAGTTATTGATATAGTCACAGAGTTGTGCAACCACCAATACAATTAATTTTAGGACATTTTCAACATACATACCCTTAAGTATTCATCGCCCATGTCCCCAATACTACTATCTCCAGGCTTAGGCTACCACTAATCTACTTCCTGTCTCTATAGATTTGCCTATTCTGGATATTTCATTTAAATGGAATCATGCAATATGTGGTTTTTTGTGACTGACTTCCTTCACTTAGAATAAGGTTTTCAAGGTTCATCCATGTTGTAGCAATTATCAATACTTCATTCCTTTTTATTGCCAAATAACATTCCACCGGATCAATGAATCACATTTGATTTACCCATCCATGCTTGATAAACATCTGTTGTTTACAGTTTTAGGCTATTATGAATTATACTGCTGTGAACATGCTACAGAAACAAGATTTGGAGTAGATATATTTTCATTTCTTCTGCATATACACTGAAAAGCCAAATTACTAAGTCTTATGGTGATTATGT